ATATATGGATATTAGACATAGAGAAAAGGATTACCAGCCTGCAATCCACACCTCCAGAGAAGCTAATAAACAAGGAGGGCCATAAAAGAGACATACATGGTTCCCCAGTGAAGCAGAAAGGGACAAGATCTCCTGAGCAAATTTAGAGCATGAAAGGAGGGGGTATGGAGGTAGGAGAAAGAGGAGGGAAGAAGAGAAAGGGGGGAGGAGAACATAAGGGAACAGGAAAATTGAGGAGAGGAATAGAGGAGAGCAAGAAAAGAGACACATCAATAGAGGGAGCCACTATAGGTTTAAAGAGAAATCTGGTACTAGGAAATTGTACAGAGATCCACAAGAATGACCCCAACTAGGAACCTAAGCAATAGTGGAGAGGCTACCTTAAATGTCATTCCCCTATAATGAGAATGACAACTACCTTAAATGCCACAGAAACAGCTGAACTGAGCAAGTGGGAACTCATGGACCTCAGTCTGACAGCTGGGAAGTCAACATAGGACCCAACCAGGTCCCCTGAACGTGGGTGTCTGCTAGGAGTACTGGGCAGTCTATGGGGCCTCTGGCAGTGAAACCAGGATGCATCCCTAGTGCAAGAACGGACATTGGGAGCCCATTTCCCATGAAGGTATACTCTCTTAGCCTAGATACACTGGGGAAGGCCTAGGCCCTGCCCCAAATGACTTGACAGATTTTGACGATCCCTTATAGAAGGCCTCACCCTCCTTGGGGAGTGGATGGGCTGTGGGATGGGTGGTTGGTGGGGGGCATAGGAGGATGGGAAGGAGAGGGAGCTGGGATTGGTATGGTAAATAAGATTGTTTCTAATTTAAATAAAATTTATTTAAAAACCTCCAAAAGAGAAATACATCTTGCTACTATTGAAAAAAAGAAAGAAACAAAGAAGCAATGAAAAAAAGGAAGATACTCAGCCAAAATGCTTAGCAACATTTTCCAGCTTGAACACCATATAAAAGAGCACACATAGGCACAATAAAACAGAACAAGCAGACATGAAGGGACAGAAAGCAAGACAGACAGCTGTCCAACTTTCACAGCAAGCTTAGAATCCAGCTTGTGAGTATTGCCTGGCAGCCCACAATTCTCCTCCCATTGGAAGGCTACCTCCTCCCCAAGCTTTGGTACTTTCACAAGGGGTTTCCTCCAACTCTCCTGTTAACTGATTCCCTAATCTTCTGTGGAACTAAAGAGGTTTCAGAATCTCCTAACATCTATCATCTCCAAGGGACCCATGGCACAGCATGGAAAGAGATGCCTGTGTGTAGCAGAGGACCATCCAACGGTTAGGCTGGCCTCACCGCCTGACACACTGGGAAAGGCATGTACTTTGTTGCTCCAAGATCTGGAATTTGACTCCAGCTCTAACTAGCAGTTAAACTCTGGACTCTCCTCCCTAAGCTTCATGGTGTTTGTCTGTAAAACCGCACTTCTACTTATGATCTGACAGCCAAGCCAGTACGCTATTAAAAATACTGGGACTGACACAGATTGGCCCCTGAGGTGCTGAATGCATGGTGATTTTCCTCTTTATGTGTGTGTGCGCTCCCTTTATCGTCTTCCCTGTATTCTGAATTTAAAATGGCTCCATGCTCTAAGAATTGTCAGAATGCAACACAACAACATGTACACACACAATGGCAAGGACATTGCTAAAAATCAAGGTCTTACTATGTACATCAAGCTGGACTTGATTTCTCAATCCTTCTGCCTCAAGCCTCCCAAGTACTGTGATGAGCATGTACCAGCAACCTGAGAACACTGAGGTGCAACAACAAGGACAGCTCAGCACAGTCTGACATTCAGCATAGCTCAGGCTCTGGAGTAGGAGGCTTGAGGCATGTGTGAGTGTGATAGGAAGCAGGACGCCAGGGCCTGCTACTGAATGAAGATGTTCTTACTCGCTTTTGGAATGGAAGATTCTGGAGTCTCCACAATCCCACACTGCTGACAAGAGTCTCATTTCTGGGGCAGGGGAATGTATTCTTTCTGGCTGAGCAGCAGACACAGATGTAAACAGCGTGTCAGGGACAATTCGTCAGCAAGTCCCATCATTCAGTGCCAGCAACCATGCAGCAGCCGCCTGCCGTTCACTCCATTCTGCTGTATGTTTGCTGTTCTGACACCCAATATGTGGATTGCTACACACTGAGAATTCAAGGCACTTGGATATCTCTTTAATTAATTTTAGGACATAATCAAAAGTTAATACTTATTTTTTAGCCAGAGGAAAGTTAGCAGGTACCTCTTATGATCTGACTCTTCTTTTAGGATTTAAGTCACATATTTTTATAATACCTTCCCCTCTCTCCTTTCTTCCCCCCCCACCCCTACCTCTCTGTGAGACACTATGTAGCGCCTGAGACTCACTATTTATACCAGGCTACTAGCCTCAAACTCACAGAGATCACAATATCCCTGCCTCCCAAGTGCTTGGAAAGAATTCTCTCCACATGCAGGCAATCACTCATACACACAAAAATGTCTTAATGAACTTCACCTTGGCAACTTTCACTTGATTTGACTGTAGTTAAGAAAAAAGAGGAGAAAAAAACACAAAAAGAAACAGGGCACTGCTAGGGGCAAGAGGGAAGCCAGATTTGAAGATTCCAGCCTGAACCTCCTTTACCTGCCCTTACTCCAGCTACTTTTCAAGGCTCAATCATTCAGTACCTTCCTGAAGGCCTCTGAAAACAAAACAATACAAATCAAAGCAAAGAAATCTCCTGCCAGTTATTAAGCCTTTTTTCCCCCTTGAACTTCAAAGGATTATCTTGCAAAGATTGAATCCTATGCAACTGCCAGCACCTCTTCAAGCTTGTTCTAGAAAACCCAGTTCCAATGTGCCTCCAGCAAAGAGCAACAGCATCTTGTGTGTGTTATTAGTGTGGGAGGTGAAAGGAGCCTCAGATATGGCATGTCTCAGCTCATACAGAGACAGAGATGGAGCCACCAACAGACTGAGGGGACTTAGAAAAGTGAACAGCATAGGCAAAGGCCCAGGATAGATATGGGATGGCCTGACTCATATTTCCAGGTCACGTCTCCCCAACAGAGTCGGTATACCTTTTGCATAAGGAGAACAATATTAGGTGATTTGTGGGCTACAAAGTCTTAGTAAGCACCAAACCTACTCTAGGCAATATGTGAACATGACCTTTTTTCATGTCAATACATTTTTATTTATAAAAACAGGAGGTAAGCAGGATTTGACCATAGCCAAACCCACTCTCTAGAACACTCCAGCCCAGAAATATCAGGGGAAATGGAGAGGAATATGATGCAGAACTTGCATACCTATCCAGTGATGCACATCAGTGGACAATACCACTTGCTCTCCTCCATGTAACATATATACACTAAACTTTTCCCAAAACCAGAACCGAAAGTAGCCTGAAGTGGCTGCAATTTGTTGTCCATCAATTTGGGGGCCCATGAGAGTCTAATCTGTTTCTCTGTCACAACAATGAAATTTACTTTCAATGTGAGAACGGAAACCTCCTAGGATGTGCTGTGTGTCCGGCTAAAAGATGTTTGTTAAGTATTCCAAAGACTTTCATGGTCCTGTGCTGAGGCCAGAAACCTAAACTATGGGGGAATGTGTAACGATAACTTTTTCTGCCAGCTGCCTGAGTTCTGCTGCCATGTTAGGGCCCCCAGAAAACACACAGATTTATATTAGTTACAATGCTGCTGGCCAATGACTAGGATTTCTTATTTGCTAGCTCTCTCTTAAGTATCAACCATAACCATTAATCTATATATTTTATAAAGACTTATCTTATCGAGGATGCCAGAGGCATGAGTCCTCTCTTCTTCAGCATCACACGGCAACTCCCCTCTTTACTACATTTCCCAGCATCCTCCTCAACTCCTAGCCCCACCTATTTTGCTTCCCTATTGGCCAACACTGCTTTATTTGTCAACCAATAAGACAACCATATACACAGAAGGACTTCCCCATCAGGAACGAATTACAATTGGGTCATTCCAAGATGGAAACAAGTCAGAATATAGCAGGCATGATCCTTCTGTGGTGGTGATCCATATCCTTGTCACCAAATCCCAACTGCTGAAGGACTCCTTAGGTAGAACAAGCTCCCCCTACCATGTGTGAAGTAGATAGGAGGGAAAGTTGAGCACCGTGAACACAATACAAAACAAAGTTAGGGCAGTTCTTCAAATGATAAACTTTTTACAGCTAAACCAGTATTTGGAAGGATTTGCTCAAGAGCAGCAAGACATAAAGCATCAAGAGGGAAGGCTACATTGAGCTCTACCTGATTATTAGCAGGAAGAATGAGCAGAAACACCACTAATGTCTGTCATCAGAGGAGCCAACACACCTTCAACAGATAACAACAGACTTCCCCAAATTTAGAGAAGCTCATTGGTGTCGTAGCTCTGACTTCAGACAAACTGTTTAAAACCATGTAACATGAATACTTTCTACAGAAGAATTCTGTAAAATCTCTTTCCTTTCTCATAGCACTTTTTATGCCCAGTTAAGAAATGATCTTGGGTTAGAAGCAACTCAGCATAGAACCCAAAATTGTCAGGGACACAGAAAACCATCTGACATGAGTGGACAGCATGGGTCTGGGAACTAAGGACTCAGGTAGCATCGGTAACACAATACCCAAGAGAAAAACCACACAAGATAGACTCCAGCATCAGGAGAACCAGGGGCAGTTTCATTGCTCACTTCAAAGTGCATGTTCTGGTAGTCAGTGTCGGCTGGGATCTCAGCCTCATCTGAGACCAGCTTTATGCACTTTATAAAACAGAGCAAGTGGCTTCGCAGCTGCACGCACCAAATCCTAAAGTTCACCTTTCAGGGCAAATCACATTTCACCATCACTGCACTTACTACTTCCCACACAGTTTCAGGTAGAATTCTAGACTGAGAGAAACCTACAAAACCCAAGTGAGCCTGTCTGCAATACTGTTTCCATTAAACCAGGGCAAAGGCCCTCAGTACTTACTGGCTGGTGAGGGAGTGCTGCATCCACTTGGAGGTGGGTGGCCATGGAGACCGTGGAGTGGAGGCAGGGAGAGTCCGCCAATGACAGGTGGGAACAGTAATGGGTAGGGTGCAGCTGGGTAGTGAGTCATGTGTCCACGCACTGCCGGGACTGGGCATGCGTGGCTGCTGGTGCTCATGCTTCAAGCTTCAGTGAAGGACAGGTGCTCCAGGGCAGGCACACATCACTACAGGTCCGACCACACAGGAGGGGGCAGATGTGGGCAAAGTGAGGCTGAACAAGGCCCTGGCCAAAGCACGAGGGTTCACCTGCGGGTCTGGCTTCCTCCCAGCAGGCTCTCTTGGTCTCCCATTTTGTTTTGTGGATGACAGGAAGGATGCTGATGCTGGTCAGATGCTCAGCTTAGGGTTCAGATGCACCGAGCCCCTTCAGATCCCAGGCTGTTAATCCTGTAAGAAAACAAGCAAATAAGTCAAGGCATCACAAATCGAAGGTATTCATCACTTTATCAAGTTATTGTGTAAAAATATACTAATAATTCAGAACTCCAAATTCCTTCTTGGCTCCATACATTTGTTATTCTGTGGTATCATTTTTTTTTTTTCAAATTGAAGCACTATAGTATAGGCTAAAACACCTACAGATAATTTTATCATAATTGATCCTCCTCTATTAAATTACAAATTCCACTCTGAACTCTATGCCCTGTAGTACAACTCTCCTTGTCTTATGGTACTTTATGGGCATGGGGGAGCATTTATTTTCCTGTCCCTGTGCTCAAAGTGTTTGTCTTGTTTGCATCTATGCTTTAGACTCTTAGAATAGGCATCCCATAAATATTTGCTGAATGAATAAAATCTTGTTCTTTAGAGAAATTGCTTGTGTAATGCAGTCTAGCCTATGTGCCACCAAGCTTGCACTGTGGCCACTTGGAATGGCACACCAACAAAAATATACAACTGAGGGAGAAAGCTCCATTTTAATGTGAAGAGAGCTAAGGAACCCAGTGGGACATTTTAGATCAGCTTCTTGTTGTTAATATACCTACAAGAAAAATACCAAGGTAAATAACACTAAGGATATTTTAAGAAGCCACAGGAAGTCCTATTAATCCATGTTTATCTAAATTACATATGAAGTAATGCCACCTGGGGGTGACAATGCTTCCCCAAGGGCCATAGACTATCTAGCAAAAACTCCAGCACCAGGCATGAGAAACCTTCTTTTGAGTTGTTAGTCAGGAGAGGTCAAGATATTAAAAAAAAATTACAGACAATTGCCACTGCCTTTGATTGTCACCCAGAATTTTAAGCTAAGTTCCAACTGCTGAAGACACCACACACTTCAAACACAAGATTTTGCGGACTTAAGCTTCAAGACAGAGGACCAGCTCTCACAGTACTAGAAAGGGCCATGCAAGCTGTCAAGAGAGAAAAGCAATCAATACTCTTACCCAGATGTGACATCTACAAACCACAATGATCAACATGACAAGATATTCTCCCAAGTGCACGAGCAGCATTTATAACTTGGGGGTAACCAACAGCTGTATAATGGGACTTAAGGCTCATTCGATGGGACAGAATTCATAAATGTAACTGTAAACACAGCCAGCTACCCAGGGGAGAACCTACTACTGCCATTTTCCTACATCCATATCATTTCTAACTACATTGAAAATATCTATCCTTATACCCACAGATAAGAGTAGCTGTCATTCCCCATCAGTGAAGCCTCTTTTTGCAGAAAACAGAGAGTATTACAGAAATCCATAACTGTTCAAAAATGCAGAGAACAACTGGCCATACTGTACCTAACCCTAACTAACACACCTGCAACAACCCTTCCATCTAAGGTTCAGGGAACCTTCAATGTGTGTCGGGGGGAGGCACACAGACTGGGAGGACAAGAGGACTAGAAAGCCTGTTGTGAGATTACAGAACAGGGAAGCTAGAAAGGCGAAATCTCAACACTATGATTGCCCAAACAAGACCTGCAAAGTGAAAATACCAGTTATCATGACAATAGGGATTAGGGAAATCTCACAAAGCTCTACCCCTTGCTGAAGAGCTACAACAATTAATGATGGCTCAGAGCAAGAATTGGTCTTCTCCAGGAATGTGCTATCTAATTATCCAATACTAAATAGATGGTCAGCCTTAGAAACACATGTATACAATCAACACTGAATGGACTCAACAGGTTGTATTCCTAAATTCATATGCATGTATATAGAAAAAATCCATCATGCAACTATTTTAAAATATATGTATATACTATCTTCTATGTTTTATAAGTTGTATTCATCTATTAAGCATGTATTATTTAATATAAATTATCAATACATTAACTCATCTCTATTCATTCATCCTTTCTTTTCTCCATCTATGCATCTATTGATTCCTCCCTCACTCAATCTATCCATTTATTTATCCATCCATCATTCTATCCCTCCATTACTCCAACACTCATTACTCTTTACTTTCCCCCCTCCTTCAGTGTGAATGATGGACCACTGCCTGTCTGTCCACTCACTCATCCATCAGTCTAAACTAACTGTTATGTGTCAGGAATGAGTGTAGACAGTGGTGATGTGTAATATGGTTCCTGTACTCATGGAGGATTTACAACCTTGATGGAAGTTATGGAACCATCTACAAAGCATATGCTGTGAGTTCTCTATCTACGATTCCTTAAGAGTGAAGATGGGAGAAGCCTCACCTCAGTTCTTGATACTGACTGTATACTTCACATGGTTACCTTTGCCATGGTAACCACATCCAGCTGGAGCTTTCAAACTTTGAAGTCCACTGGTTGATAAGCTCTGAACTCAGACCCCTGGAGCTTCAAGGTAAAGTGATGAGTTGTGCAGAGAAGGAATGAATCTAGAGCCAGATGCCCAGGTTCAGTCATGACTCTGGACTTCTTGGAAATTATCTCACTTCTCAATACTGTGCTTTTTAAAAAGTGTGAAATATGGGTAATTATAGAATTTGCTTCAGAGGATCATTCAGAAGATGAAACGGGGTCCTGCTACAGAAGAACAATGTCTGATATACAGTAAACACTTGGTGAAGGCTCACTTCAAACAGGTGAAGGTTCACTTTAAACACACATGTTGTCTCATTAAGTAGTGTTCTTCTGAGAACAAGCTTGCTTGAAAAGACCATGAGTTTCAGGCAGTGGATGAAGCAGAATACATTATAGCAGTCTTGGGGAGAAAATATTATAACTCAAATTCGGGTCAGATAATTGAAGAGAAAGATGGGGTGTGGGCAAAGGGAAACAGTTTCTGGTGCTGCTTCTTGATCACTCAGGGTCCCTAAGATGTCCTAATACAACCTGTGTGTCTTCACCACATGCCAGGTGCCTGAGGCATAAGCCCATGGCTTTGAGTCTCTGTGAAATCTCACAGGGCTGCAGGACAGTCCCATTTTCTGGACAAGCTGCTGAGTCCACATGGCTTTACACATCTTCCCCCACAGCACACATCTGTGGCAGAGCCAGACTTAAAACTGGTTTGAGTAGTGCCTCCTCCTCTGCTCCCTCTGCCCCAGCAGAGCTTGCACACCTAATAAGTTGCCTGCCACACCAATTGCCACCCACAAAGGGAAGAATCCATGTATGGGTGTGACATTAGCTTCTGTCCTTTCTCAGACACCATCCACTGGAGCCTGCCTTCAATCCTTGGCCCACATGGTCCACATGGGAAGTCCAGGTTCCTTGGGTCTTAGTATTCCCTGCACTCTAAAAGGGAGGCAGTTTCCATTCGGTTTATGAACATTAACCCGAAAATAGTGCCTCACCCAAAATGTTACTGTCTCTTGATATCTCAAGCTGCACAAAAAGAGTGGGCTGCACATTACTTCAGCAGAGGTAAATGCTTTAGGTGTTTCCTTTTCTCAAAAGAATACTCCTTTCCACATATTTAATACTCTTATTTTGTAGTTTGTAGCAAATTAATTAGAAAATAAAACAATGCCACTTAGTATTTGCTGCATTTCCTGTCAATCTGATTTTGAAATCCCAGACAAAGCTCAGCATTGTTACAACGGTCTTTTCTTTCTCCATCTGACAAACTAGCTCATTAACTGCAAGAGCTGACAGTTTAGCAAACTCGCCCCCGCAGGGCACAATTCTTTGATTTTTTTAAAGCTGTCTTTTTTTTAAATATATATACCAACCAGGGACTGTAGCTCCCCCACAATAATCTCTTTCTCCTTGCTCTCATATCCTAAAGATCACCAACTTCTTGTCTGCCTGGGTAGCACACTTAAAATCTTAAAAATAAACAAATAAAACAGTGCCAATAGCAGAATAACTTATGCTAATAAGAGGCAAAGGAAGCGATTCTGGTTGGAAAAGTCTCGCTTGTTGGTGAACTGTGTGGGAAGTCCCAGCCTGTCCACATGTGTGACTGATTAAGCGATTCCTGGAAGCAAATGTCCTTTGTTTCAGGCTTGTGGAGACAAAGCTGGTCACTGGTATTAGCACGCCCTTTCCCTTCATGCCTGACTTCAGTCTGGGCTCATTTGGGCTCTTTTCTTCCCCACCTGAGGCAAAGCATAAATGAACAGGATGAGTAGGGGAAAAAATGAGATGGGCTGAGAGGTCTCAAGTCCACCACCCATGAGCTTCTGCGGTATCAATTTTAACATCCACAAAAGAGCCAGGAAAAAAAGGTCGGGCGTGGGGGATTAAGTACAAATGCAAACTCTGACACCCAGAAAACACTATTTGCTAAAACATAGTCACTGAACAACAGTTCAAAACTAGTTTTTAAAACTAAGAAGAGAATGTTGTCTTTTTTTCCCAAATTTTAACTGTTCTACTACAGTCTACCTTCCATAAATCATCTGGGAGGAAGAAGCAGGTTTACCTCCAGTCTATATGACAGCATGCGCATATGGAGTGGCAGGCTTTGCCATCCTAACATTCATGCTGCGTCTGTGACCTATTTTTATTAAATTTCCTGGCTACTTTATTGTCAACTAGACACAAGTTAGGATTTTCTAAGAAGTTGGAATCACAACTGAGGAAAAGTTTCCATAAGACTATTGCCTATAGGCAATCCTGTAGGACTTTTCTTAATTCATGATTGATATGGGATAATATCAATGGGATAATCTATTCCATTTTGGATGGGGCCATCCCTAAGAAGGTGGTCCTGGGGATATG